GTCCCTCCTGATGCCCCCGTTGTAACCAGCATGAAAGACAAAGGTGGTGGCAGGGCTGCCTGGGCTTGTGACCAGGCAGGACCCAGCTTCGGCCGCCCTCACTTGTTACGTCCTCAGGAGTTGGTGAACAGAAAGATGCCTCTTCCTCTCACCCTGGCGCTCACACCCACACAGAGGCTCACACTCTCTGGCCAGCAGAAACCAGCCGTGCACACTGCTGTCCCTCCTCCCCATCATGGGCACCAGCCAGCCCACAGGCCCTGAGCCCAGGTGCCGGGCTCCCTTCCTAAGCCCCGCCCAGCCCTGCACCAGCTTCCTGTTTCCTGTCGCCAGCTCCGCCAGCTCCGCTCAAGCATCCTGGCTCGGAGGCCAGCGCCGCGGACGGCCGCCGCTGCCTGCTTTGAACGGGCCCAACTCTCACTCCTCAGCCCACCGCAGCCTTCCCCGCTTGCCCACAGGCTCCCTGGTACTTAGGTCAATCACCTATAATCCTATTATATACATGACTTCTGTTTCCACTGTACGCTCTTTGGACTGGGTCTACACTTCTTTCCAACAGCCCTGCATTCGCGTGTTAACTTAAAGGGGATTCTGGACACCCAGGCTTCCAGAGCACGTGACTGGAGTGGTGAGGAGGAACGAGCCCTGAGGGCTCTGCAGGGTGGGACACGTGGAGTCCAAATCCCAGTTGGCCTCTCTGAACCTCTGTCTCTTCATCTGAATGTGGGCGTGGTGATGAGAGGCCCCGCCTACTTCCCCACAGGGAGGTTATTCTTGCCGAAAGCCGCCCCTGTAGGCCATAAAGTGCTACGAGATTCTGAGATTCTGAGGCTTTATTCGTGGTCTCTGGCCTCAGTGAGTGGGCAGACAGTGCAGGGTGGGGTGGCAGTCAGCGTCAAATCTAGTGGAAGGGACAGGCTCTCTCTGTGCGCTTCCTAACTACCTGGTGTGAAAGGCCAGGTTTCAGCTGTAGTTTTCTTAGTTCTCACTCCCTCAAGAAAGGATCCTTTGGTAAAATACAAAATCATGCACATGGATGTGGTGACAGTATCAAACTGACGTAAAAGTTTCAAATGACTTATTCTCCCATCCTATCAAGACACCTGTAGCAGGTCAAAGACCAGAGCCGTCCAAGCACGTGATCAGTGGGCTTAGTATCTCCTCTTTTATTCCTTAGTGTTCGTTTTGATTAATTTTATAAGCAGCTCAGGAGAGAGAGGGTCCCAGTGGCTGAGGTGGGCTTCACTTGCGAGACGGGCTCAGATGGTTTGGAACGGTGGAGCAGGGAGGGAGAAGGGCAGGCTGGACGAGTATGCGAGGTAGCGGAAGACTCGTGCCTGGTGTGTTCCGGGGGCAGGGAGAAGTCAGGATTTCTATCATAAAAGCTGTGGATACTGAGGCCCGGAGCAGGGGCAGGAGAGATCATGTGGGAAGGGGTCATTTAGAATATTCCAGACCTTGTCTCATAAGAAATGGGGTCCCTGGGAGCGCCTGGGTGGCTTGGTCAGTTAGGCATCTGCCTTCAGCTCAGGTCATGATCTCGGGGTCCTGGGACTGAGCCCCCATGTTGGGCTCCCTGCTTGGCAGGGACTCTGCTTCTCCTTCTCCCTCTACCCCTCCCTCTCCCTGCTCATGCTCTCTCTCAAATAAATAAGTAAAATCTTTTTTAAAAAAGATTTTATTTATTTATTTGAGAGAGAGAATGAGAGGAGAGTGCAAGAAAGTGGGGAGAGTCAGAGGAAGAAGGAGACACCCTGCTGAGCTGGGAGCCCGATGCGGGACTCAATCCTGGGACTCCAGGATCATGACCTGAGCCGAAGGCAGTCCCTTAACCAAATGAGCCACCCAGGTGCCCCAATAAGTAAAATATTAAAAAAAAAAAAAAAAAAGAAAAGAAAAGAAAAAAGAAATGGGGTCCCTCCCTAGGGATTCTTGAACAGAAATGTATCGTGAGCACTATTTAGCGTAAATGAACATGGCCCTCCTCTCTCTAGCACACCAGGGTGAAAAGTAAGTCTTATTTATTGGCCTCCTCAGCCTGGTAGGTGCTCACTGGGTGTCATGTGCCTGGCACTGGGAGGTTATAAAGTACAGTGGGGGGCAGCGGGGGTCTGGTCCGGGCGGGAGTGCAACCAGGAGGCTGAGGCCAGAGCAGGAATGAGTGGGACATACCCAGGGACAGACAGCCCTTGGGGACAAAACAAGGAGAGGGGCAACGATTCCTTAGCTTCAGGGCCAGGGGATGGTGAGGACACCAGTGGCTGTGCCTCGTTCCTCCCTGCCCAGCATAGGACACGCACAGATCAAGACCCCAGCCCGCCAGCCAGCTCTCAGCAGGCTTCCCAGCATTTCCCTCTCCGTGCCACCTGCCGGGATCTGCGCCAAACTCCCTCCTCATTCCAGGCTTAGCTGGATGACACACTCAGCTGCTTTAAAGCTCCCTGGTCAATCTGTTCCCAGGGCCACAGCTGCACTAGGTCCCCAAGAAGCCCTCCGGCTCCGCTCCTCTGCTGGGGAGGGGAGGAGGCCAGGGTGAGCACCTGCTCCACAAGCAAGCCAGACGGCCTAGAAGCCAGGGGACCAGGAGCCAAGCTCTAGCAGCAGCACCAACGTTCCCTGCGTGGGGTCCCTTGGGGACCTGGGGGCGTGCAGCCTGGGAAGGCCTGTAAACTCTTTTCTCTGGGGTCAGTCTTTTTCTGTTCCCCTAGGGTACAAGGGGTTCCGTGTACAACAGCTGCCTTCCCCATGCTCTCTCCCAGCCGGGGGCCTCTCCTGAGAGTCCAGGAGGCAGCAGGGGCATGGGCCGGACCGCACCCAGTCTCTAACCCACACAGGATGTACAGTGCCTCCCACCAGGGCTGCTGCGAGGCTCAGGCTGGGCTCCCACCTGAAAAGTCTGATAGACCCTGGCCCCCGGCAGGCTCCTAGGCCCCCCTGCAGGGGAACAGGTTTATTACACTGTCTGCCCTACACAGTTGGACCTACGTGGCTGTTTGCAAAGCACGCCTGCAGGTGGACAGGACGGGTATTACTGGTAGCCGTATTTTCCCAATGAAGAAGCCAAAGTTCAGAGAAGCTCAGTAATTTGCTCAAGGCCACACAGTTGGGAAGCAGTAAATCCAGTGCTGTGTCTTCTATCAGACTGAGGTTGCTGCGGCCTCCTAAAGAGGAAAGGTTTGGCCAGGCAAGGGCAGGACAGGCCTTTGCTAAGCACTGGCTCTCTCTGGGGCTTGCACACAGTTAATTCCCCAAGGCATCTAGGAGGAATGCGTCCTTATCATCTCTGTTTTTCAGGGGGGTGGGGGGAGCCAAGGTTCAGACAGTGACTTCTTCAAGATCATAAGCTGGGGAGTGGTGGAGCTAGGATTTAAACATAGGTCTGTTGTGTCCTGAAGACGGCGAATTTCCTTCTACACTAAGCCCCTGTCCCAGGCCAGGGGTGGGGAGGACATAGGACCCACTGACCTTTGCCCCCACTCTGCCCTGCCTCTCCTCCCTCTCACTGGTCCCTCTCCAGACATTTCCATACACCTGCCCCTGACTTCTTCGCACTTTCTGTCCCCAGGGCCTCACTCCACCTCCCACTGATGGGCCCTCCCACTGGTCCTAGGGACTCAGGGATGAGCCAAAAGGTTGCAAGGACTTTATCTGCTACAGGTGGTGACTCTTGTCCCCAGTGCACCTGGAAGAGGGGCGGGGGGTGGAACTCTCTCCCGAAGATCATGGTCACACAGGCAGATGGGGAATTACCGGTGGCCTCTGACTCAGCCTGGCTCCACCTCCCACTCCAGCCCACACTGGGGTCCTCCACCTTCTCCCACAAGAAGGAGAGGAGAGGGGCACCCTGGGAATCTGGGAGTACAGCCTGGAGTCTGCTGCACGCTGGAAATTCTTTTGAAGTCCCCCGTTTTATCTTTCAACTTCATGTGAATTTTTCATTACAGGCCATAAAATATCCATGTTTGCTTTAATATTAAAATGTTTAAATTTACTTACCAATTAAATGACTTAACTTCTGCCACCACCCCCCCGCCCCTCCCAGTCCTCAAGCAGAATTAGCAGTGGTGCGCTTTGGTAAGTGCAGGTGCCTGACCTCTGGCTCCGGGGGCCCTCTCACCTCCAGCTGCTGCAGCCCTCCCTCCCTCTGCTGTCCCTTTCGCTAGGGCCACCATGCACCCTGACTCTCCACCCTGAAAGGAGAAAATCCTGCCCTGTGGAGAACATTTCCTTGACGGGCTGAGTTACAAATCTGAACTCCCAGCTCCCCCTTGCCTACTTGCTCGACTTTCCCATTCTCAGCTGGAAGGGGCTGACAGAAAGGAACCAGCTGTCTTCTGCGCTGGCCAGAGACTCTGGCTCTGCCTCTGAGGCTGAGGCATCGGCAGGCAGGCACCTAGAGCCCACGGGCGGTACCCCCGGGAGCACTGTTCCTCTTGGCCAACCGCGGGGCTCCCACCAGACTCTGAGGTTCTGGCCCCCAGAAGCCTGGGCTTGGGGCTGGCCCCAAAGCCTACTTGAACAGTGTCCGGCTCTCCTGCTTTATTCTGAAGGGACCCATGAGCCTGCATCTCTCCTCACTTTGATCAGACTCCCAGGCCTGGGCTCCCTTCCTCCAGGTTCTCAGGTGGGACTGAGGCTGAGGATGGATGTGTAGATGGGGGAGAAAGGGGCCTGTGCAGGCAGGCCTGGGCTCACAGGCAGGTTGTCTTACTGCCCATTCCAGAAGGAAGTCCCGGCTCTGCCACAACTCACAGTACAAGTTCTCTGCTCTCTAGAGGCTTCTGGTTCAAGGCAGAGAGCAGGAAAGTTGTGAAGGTGGTGATAGGGGTCCAAGGACAGGGAAGGTCAGTGAGCTGGGCAGCTGGAAGACTGCACCCCATGGCCCAGCCCTAATGGTCCCAGGTGCCCGCAGGACACACATGCCTGCTGTTTAGAGCATACATGCATGCACACGTGTGCGTGCGTGTGTGTGTGTGCAGGGGGGATGCCGTGACACTCACCGGGGGGTGCTTGCGCTTCCGCCCAGGCCGCCCCACCTTCCGTGCAGTCGTGCTGGGCTCCTGCCGCTCCTCCTTGCCACGAGCCTCCTCCTGCTCCTCTCCCTCCTGTGGGTACAGACATAGCCTGTGAAGCCGGGGCTGGACCCAAGAGGCCCCCTCCCCTGTCCCCCGACCCCCACAATGGCCACACTTCCAGAGCCACGCCAGGCTGTTCCCCCTGGCAGGGCTGGCCTTCATCTGTCTCTGGCCTGGCAATGCCAGAGCCAACCCTTCGGGTCCCATGGAAATAAAACCTCAGGGGACTTCAGGATAGAAGCCGCTGCCCCGACGCCCTGCCACTCTCCCTCCAGGTGGAGACGTTTCCTTAACCACGGAATCACAACACATGCTCTGACAAAAGTGTGTTTCTGGATAGGAGTTTATTTCCATGAAACACATTTTACATGGGTACAAAAATTAAATGAGTCATATATTTAATTGATCACCTTTCTCGAAAATAAGATCCCCTTAAAAGAAATATAAATATAGCGATTGGAAATAGGAGCAACACTTGGAATGAGGACCATGGCCAGCGATAGAGAACTTTCGAGGCCCCTGTGAATACACCTGCTCAAAAGCGCTTGCCCGTATGCCTGTTACCCCACAGGAGCATCTCAGGGACAGCATCTTGGTTCATCTGAATGCCCTCCCTGCATTCAGGGAGTTCTAGACCCCAAGTCGGGTTAGGGGACCCATCTCACCCAGCACCTGGCAGGGCCGGGCCCTGCTGCATTGTCTCATGGAGCACAGAGGCATAAACCTAGAAAGTCCTTCTGCCTCACCGCTCCACCGGCCCAGCCACAAACCACCCACGGGTCGCTTCTGACTCAGCCGGCTCCAGCATGACTAATCACAAACAGAAACAACGCCGGGGAAGGAGAAAGGGACCCTGACCCAGCGGAGGGACCATGGGCTGCTCTTCAAGCCCCTGCAGGGCGTCAGGAGCCAAAGATGGCTTCAGAGTCCTCCCTGGGGAGGGTGCCTCCCCGGAGCAGCACCAGTGCCACGGGAGAGAAAGGCAGGGTGCCCAAGTTCCCAGTGGATTTAATCAGGATGTCCCTCAACATCCTACTCAACTTTCATTTTCTGTGATTTCAAAATAGCTTGTGGTTTGCCTGTCTGTGGGCGGGAGGGGAGGGTCCAGGGTGGAGAGAGAGTCTGCACCAGGACCAGAGACCCCTGACAGGCTCTTTTCAGGAAAACATGGCAGAGAAGCTGTGAGAGCAGGAAGGCCACAGGGGGGACAAACTGCCTGTGGAGGGGCAGGGCACGTACCCCACGGTAGGCCAGGCCTCTGGTTCTGGGCCGTTCATGAGATCCCCGCAGACACCCCTGCAGAAGAGGTGATCACCTGGATCGCAGAGAGAAGGTACCCTAATCCTGGTGACAGTTTCCAACTGGATCTACGCGCCATGGTGGTGAATTTCAGGCCGAGATGGTGCTTTTGGTCTGACTCCACTGCAGCCAGGTGGGCACTGTCTTGATCATTCTGACTAGCTCACTCAGCATTTACAAAATGGAGTCGATGTCAGGTCATGTGAGGTCACGCAACGGCCTGGGACTTAGAGCAGACCAACATGGGTTGGGCCCGGCTTGTCTATCAGCTAGTTAGTCTACCACCTTCTCCGGGCCTCACTCTCCTCATCCATAAAAGGGGAGCATGAAGGTGCCCGTTCTGCCAGCTTCTCAAGTTTTTAGTAGGAATGAACAAACGTTCTGCCCCCTGTATGTTTTGTGCACTGATGAGTTCCCAGAGCCCAGCCCCAGCCCTGCACGAAGTGAGTAGTCCACATGCCCCCCCACGCCCCCCCCCCCATATACTCAGGGGCAGCAGGAGGCCCACTCAGCCCCTGTGTTTGCCTGGAAAGCGCGAGGCCAGACCTTGCCAAGCCGCTGGCCACTCTTCACGGCGGAGCCCCTCAAACTGCTATGCACAAGGCAACGGGCAAGAAGGGGGCACCAATGTGGATCAGGGTCAGTCTGGGTGGTCATAGGGTATGGAAAAACTCCTACTGCCCAGAAATTCTGGGCTATGAACTATTTCTTTAACGGACTGCATTTCTGACAGAAGGATTCATCTGAGTTTCTTTGATTCCGAACGGACCACAGATGCAAAGGCCATTCGGAGCCCCTGCTCAGCACAAAGGAACCTCGGTTACCCCACTGCAACGACCTAATAAAGACACTTGACACTGTGGGACCCCTGAGCCCTGGCTTCCATCAGTACGGGGAGAAGGGGGGGCCCCCCCCGGGGGTACTAGCAGGGGGCTCCGGCGCCACCTCGAGACAGCGGGGAGTCTGCACGGGCTAAGCGCATGTGCAGGAGGTGCTCGCTGCTCAACACACCCCAGGAGGAAGGAATGCTCCGATGCCGGATGCGGTGGATGCCGTGCCACCGAACCAGGCCCTGACGTGTTGCGAGTGTGGACATCACCAGGGCAGGCCGCCACGTGCAGAGCCCAGGGCAAGGTGCGCTATGCCCCATCTGGCATTCAGGCCTCAGGCTCCCCTGGTTTGTGCCCAAAGAAACGAAATCTCTCCCCAGAGCCTGGGTGGGGGCTCGAACCTAGGTCTGCGCAACTCCTGGCCCATGCCCCTTCCATCAGGCCCTAAAGTACGGCTCTGTGAAAAGCATGTCATTTGGGGCCAACAGACACTCTTTCTTGAGGTAGCGATGTCATGAGAGCACAGAGAAGGGCGGTGGGGCCTCCTGCTCCAGGTCTGCCCGAGTTCACAGAGTTGGGGGGACAACACACAGAGGGGGGTGAGCAGATGGCTCAGGGCCATGGCCCTCAAGGAGGCCTATCAAGTGGTCCATTCTCACATCTATCATGGGGCCGGGCTCACTCAATATCTTTTGCTGATGGGCTGAGCAAAGGAATGTGAAATATGCTTATCAAATCTGCAAATGGCACTGAACTCAGCACCAGCGTCACTAATAGCCTGAAAGGGAACAATCTGATCCACAGTGACTTGGAGCAGCTGGAAAACAGTAACAAACTGAGCGGAACAGACATGAGCCCAGGTTGGTTTCCTCCTCCGTCCACTAAGGGGACTGAATTAGACAGTCCCTATGGTGGGAGGTGGCAGGAGAGGGGCAGAGATTCTGGTCGGGTGGGATTTGAAGAGGGCGGGGTTGGGGGGGAGGTGAGGGGACATTCTGCCCTGCTCTTGACTCACTAGTAGCTTCAGGCTCTTAACCCTGAGTCTTGTTTCCTCACTACAAAGCAGGGATGGTAACGTCTTGACAGCAAGGCTGTGACAATTCAATGAGGTAATCATATATCCAAAGCTGACACGATATAGTCCATCAAGAACTGCTAACTTCCACGCCACATGTCCTGAGCAGAACTGTTCACAGAACTGCATCCCTCCCTCTTCCCCCTGCCCGCCCTCCCCATCCCCATCCATATCCCAGTGCCCTGCATTTGCAGCCATCACTCACTGCTACAAACCCCAGCATCTGGCTGGTCGACTGCAGTGAGATATTCAGGAACACGGGGCTCTCTGATCTTTCCAAAATGCAAAGCTGATTATGTCACTCTGCAGAGCTTAAGCCCTTGCCGAGGGGGCTTCCAGGGGCCTCCAGGATCAAGCCAAGCTCCTTAGCCCGTGTGAAGGAAGGCCCCCAGGATCTGGCGGGCGGCCTTGGTCTCCTCTCCCCACTGCCTTCCCCCCACCCATCGCCAACAGACTGCACCAGGTGCAAGAGCAGGCAGCTTCCCTCCCCGGCACCTTGGCATAGACCATTTCTTCTGCCCCAGCTACCTCCCCCTCAGGTTGACCAGCAAACCCTTACTCCTCCAACCTCATTTCGCAGATTTCCTTCCCCCAGGCTCCCTCCTCTGATCCTCTGACTGAGGCCATAGATCCTCTCTCCCCCACAGCACCCACTCCCCAGCACTGTAACTGCCATAGACAGGCCATGAGCCCCTTGGGGGGAGGGACCGTGTGTGTCTTAACCTCAGCACCCCCAGTGCCTAGACCAAGTCACCTAGCATGAGGCAGGCACTCAAAATCCCTTGATGAGTGAATGTCACATAGTAGGTACTCAGTAAGGGAGTTCACACACACACACACAGGTACACATGTAAATCCACAGACCAGCACAAATATAACTGTGCCTGAGGTTTCAGTGTTGCTCTGATCTTTATGATTTCAAATCAGGAAACAGGATGACTAAAATGTACTTTCTAGGCTTAAACACAATCATGTCGCTTTACATTTATGTAACTCTTTGCAGCTTTCAAAGCACCTTCACATTTGGTGGCCTGTCAGATTAGGTAGTTACCATCAGCCTCTCTAAACTTCTGAGGCTATGATTTGACCTAGATTTTAACACCGCTCACTGGATGGATTATTTTAAGCCACATACAACTTCTCATTCTGATGAGCTGGACTGGGACGATAATAATCTCTCACAGTTGTACGGTACATGGTAATTAACACAGCATTTTCACATACATTGTGTCATTTTATTCTTCTGCTTTATAGCAAGCGGAGCACGTATTATTTTCTTCCATCACACCTGCGGGAACTCTGAAGCTCAGAGGGGTTGTCTAACTTGCAGAGATCAGAGAGCCAGGAGAAAAGGCTTTAGAACCAACATTTAAATCTTTGATTCCCAGCTCGAGGGTCTTTCCGCTGTAACACACCACTCTAGCCTACTACCCTCTGTGCTCCCGACGTGTGTCACTGTGTGCGTCACCGGGAAGCCACGAGCCACAAGCCACGAGCACACAGGCAATCCAAGGCAGAGGCACACACTGGCATTTGCATCCTGTCTCTGGGGCTCCGGCCCGGACACAGGACCCCTCCCCTGAAGAGATCTATGTCCCACCCAGAGCCAGCCCGCCAGATGTACGTGCTCCCTTCAGAACACACGCCGGATGCTACCGACCCAGCATCCGCTGAGCAGATGTCTCAAGTTGGTGTTTGAGTGGAGGGGATGAACTCGCCGGATCTAGCCAGCCACTTGCCCAGACCCTTTGGGACAAGAAGCACGTACAGCCTTGGCCAGCTGGCTGGCTGGCCTCCAGGGGTCCGTCTGTGATCGCAGAATTCGG